ACTATTTAGTTAATATGTGGGAACCTATTCTTTACCAGATATAGTCTCATTCTGTATATCACTTTTATCTGAACTTTAAAAAGCTATTCAAGGTTTAGTTGAAGAATTTTTAAGTGCTTACCATTTGTTGAGGAAATGAAATCAACTTTAAATTGTTCTATTGTTAAAGAAGACTTTGCGCATGTACGGTTAGACCGCAAGCTTATTTTCATGAGTAAAAAAGCCAGCCAATCAGTGAGTTTGATGTTTGATTATCCCGGATCACTGTAACGTAGTTCTTCTGATCTACGTACGTACGAATCATTCTGCCAAAAATCGCTCATAACTAAAAATCCATATAAGAAACTACCTTTTGTGCTCTAGCAAAAAGTTTTCATTGGACAATTTTACTATTAAAACTACACCCCTCTGGCTCTTAACAAATTTTAAGAATTTTGTCTGCGCCACCATCCAATTACGATCAAAACGATAATGATATGACGAATAAATGATTTATTGCACAAATGATTTATCAAATTATTTATTATCAGCGAAGCTTTACTTAATTAATTATATATTTAAATAGTAATTCAATTCTATCTTTCGGTCATCACGCATTCAACCATTAAGTTAAACAATATCGCTCAGACTAGAGATGGGTCCCGAAACCCAAACCTTCCTAAACCCTTTAGGTTTAGGTTATAATATTAGTTTTGTATACGATATTTTTTGCCTAAATCCCAAACCCTAAACTAAAACCCAAATCCCAAACTAATGCCAAAATCCCAAACTAATCTCGAAATTCCAAAATGATACTGAATCCCAAACAAAATTTTTATACTATATATGCTGACTCATATCATATATATTGGGAGCTAGTATTCATACTCTCCACATTTGGTATTCATGCCCCTTACAATAAAAATAAGATTTTTTAAAATTTGATAAACCTTTTTTTATTTGAATTCTATAGATTCATAGAGTTCAAATAAAAAAATTTTTATCAAATTTGATTATGTAGTTGTTGAGATATCTTTGTACAAAATTTTAAAAAATTTAATTTTTACTAGGAAGTACTAATACTAAATGTGGGGGTATGAATTTTAATATTAAAACTTCAGTATTAGCTTATTGATTTGGGATTTCGGCACTGGTTTGGGATTTAGGTTTCGGGAAAATCATGTTAGTTTAAAGATTTAGCATTAATTTGGGATTTAGATACTTGTTTGGGATTTCGGCAACAGTTTAGGATTTCGGTAACAGTTTAGGATTTCGGTAACCCTTTCGCAACTTATAACCGAAACCCTAAACCTTTCGGTTCGAGAAAATAGGTTTAGGGACCCAACTCTAGCTCAGACGTATTTGATCTAAATCACACCTACGCCGTAGGGATGTTAATCAGTCCCGCAGTAGTTATCAGCCGACTTTGAGCAAGATTTGTAAAGAATTGGCATTTTTACTACTATTTGTCCAATAAATAAAGTTCTAGGATGCTATTTTTCTATAACATTGTTTAATAGAAGTTTATTGGCTTTTGCATTAATTTTAGAGTAATTTAATCGGTCCCATCTAAATAGCCCAAAATAAATGCAGAAATCGATAAGCTTCTATTAGGATCTATTATAGAAAAATAATTTTTCCATAACTTTGTTTACTAGACGAATAGTAGTTAAAAATGCTAATTCTTTATAAATCTTGCTCAAAGTTGACTGATAATTGCTGCGGGACCGATTAACATCTCTATTACGCCGACTTACTTGGCAATTAACTTCTATAAAATTATAAGACCAATTAACGCACACGAAATAAATATTAATTAAAACACAAGATATAAGTATTAATTAAAATAATTGGTTTAAAGTCTTTCAAAATCAAAGCTTACCTAAAACATTTAGGTTTTTTTTTTTGGTTTGCTACGTATCTAGTAGACTAATATTTCAGTTTTGAGATTAGTGAACATTAATATTATCAAAAAGTAAAAAATAATTGTTTTAGCAGTAAACATTATACTCGCAATAAAATACTTTAAAGTGTATAAATAAGTTATCTGGATGATTGGATCAAGCGAACCAATTAAATGAATATCCAACCATAAGTCGCTAGTAGAAATCAAACCTATGTTAGGATTATTAAAGCTAAGATATTGAATATAGGTCTTATGAATATAAACACGGAAATTTTCATACCACAATACCGAAACTGTTCTTGTATTCATTTAAGGTCTTTACCACGTACTGCACGTGGTCCTGTATTTTTATGTGGTATATCCCTTGGCGTTGTCATTGTCAAGAATTTGGAAGCCCAAAGAAGGAATTTCGGATCCAGACCTAAAGTTTTGTTGGATATAAACACGAAAATAACTATTCTTGTATTCGTTTAAGAGTTTTGCCACATTTGCACATGGGCCCGTATTTTTATGCTGTCTACTCATTAGAATTTAGGATCCAGAAAACTAATGTCTTTTTTAAGTATATAACACAAGATGCTATCGCTATTTAGAGATTTAAATAATCACATCGGAAATAAATCCGCCCATATGACCCGATACAGAATCCAAACACGTGCGAAAGAGAGAGAAAATACCTAAATAAGTAAATTTTACAGAACAGTTTTGTACATAGTTATAAATTTTTCGGTTATCGAAAGCGTGAGATTTTGTTGGCAATCCTAGTTAAGATCTGTAAGAATTTTCTGTGAAATTTGTTTCTTAGACCCTTCGTAATAAAGCAGCTATTACAAAATATAAATGCCGCCTCTAAGGAAGAAGCCCAAAAAATATGTTCAACAAACGTTGACCAACATACTCGCTGTTTCAAAACGAGATCCCGAAGAACATAAGTACCCAAATAAAAGGCTTAAAAGTTCAGATAAAAGTGATATACAGAATGAGACTATATCTGGTAAAGAATAGGTTCCCACATATTAACTAAATAGT